ACTGTTTTTAAAAGGTCGGCTGGAGGGGCGCCTGGGTGGCTTAGTCGGTTGAGCGTCTGGCTTTCACTTAGGTCATGATCTCGCGGTTCGTGGGTTCGAGCCCCGCGTCGGGCTCTGTGCTGACTGCCAGCTCAGAGCCTGGAGCCTGTTTCAGAGTCTGTATCTCCCTCTCTCTCTGACCCTCCCCTGCTCACGTTGTCTCTCTCTCTCTCTTCTAGAAATAAAATTTTAAAAATATTTAAAAAAATAAATAAAAATAAAAGGTTGGCTGGAGGATGGGTGAATCAGGTGTGCGTGCTCACGTGGGAGGGCATGAGGAACAGGGATGTCGGGTGCGCAGGGGCTCCGTCGTTGGCCTGTGTCCTTAAATCTGCTCTTGTGACTTTATCTGGTTCTCCTTTTCTTCTCAACCGTAGCCTGAAAGTGGTGGAGAAAGGAGAGGGACGGGCTCACTTCAATGTTTGTCATTTGCTTCCAACCCTCTGAACTTTCCTAGCACACCCATCTCCTAGAAATAGTGTAAATAAGACAAACAGGGGACAAACTTTTGGAAACAACTCCTATCCCACCGGGTGCGCCGCTGCAGTGTCTTGCTTAACTCTCAAGGACGCCTTGGATACAAATGTTAACATTCTCTTTTTAGAGATGCCGAATCCGAGGATCAGAGAGGTTAAGTCATCTGTCTAAGATCACACAGCTAGCAGGTGGTCGATATAGGGTTTGAATCGATGCCGTCGGATGCCTTTATATACGAGCAGGACTCTGTCTACTCAAAACCGTGACCCAGATGTCAGAGGGACGGACCTTCTGGTCTTCCAACATGGCCGCAATCTCCGAGGGGCTCCTCTCTCAGGGTCTCTGCTGTTTATGTGCCTTTGGGTCTGCAGAGCTGCTTTTGTTCCTTTCCTCAGACACACTGGTGCAATGCAGCCGCTTCAGTTGGGCAAGCAATCTAATCACACCAAGCATTTTGTGGGTTTAGCAACTTGACTAATAGGTTTGGGTGTGGAATCATGAACCGGCAAGCCACAGCTCTTTCCTCCTTCTCCCCCACCCCCCACCCCCAGCATCTCCCTCCCACCACCCACCCAATCCTGCTCCTCGAAGCCCATCCACCAGCCTCCAGATTCTGGTACTTTGTCCACATTGGAGACGAGAACATTCCAGATCGTCCCTTGGTGGGCTCCCAAACAGCCTCAAGAGTGAAAACCATCTTCTCCTTGAGAAAAGCAACTAATGGGCTATTTGTCCAAACTGGCAAGTCTGCGATCATCTATAGCCGACAGCAATAAGGTGCTGACTCTACTCTCCCTTCCAGGGACTGGCTGATCCGACCAGAAGTCAGGGAGTGATTCGCTTGGTGGAGAAAGCAGGATGCAATGTTGGAGACACATTAAAATGTTTTGGTCGTTTATCTGAAAATCAAATTTGGCTGTATTTTATCCAGCAGCCCTAAGACAGAGGCATAAGGAGGGTAGTTTAACCTCATGGAGGTATTTTTCAGGAGGGTAGACTTAGAAACTCAGAATCTGACTGTGTTGCATTGCGTAACTGTTGGGAGGGAACTGCTTCTTAAATCTTTTCCATTCATTTTCTGTGGATTATCCACCCTAAACGTCTTAAAAATACAGCTGAGGGGCGCCTGGGTGGCTCAGTCAGTTAAGTGACTCTTGATTTTGGCTCAGGTCATGATCTCACGGTTCGCAGGATCGAGCCCCAAGTCAGGCTCTGTGCTGACTGAGCAGAACCTATCTGGGATATTCTCTCTCTCTCTCTCTCTCTCTCTCTCTCTCTCTGTCTCTTAAAATATAAATAAATAAACCTTTATCAAAGGCTGAAAGCGTTGCACTAATTGGAAACATTGCTATCACAGTATCCAAGCACATTTTTAAGTAAGCTGGGGAAATTGCCTTTTCAAAATGCTATTAGCATCAATCAGAATGAGAAAAGAACTCAACACCCAGGAAATGTCCTGAATAGGCAAAGAGGAGAAAAGGGGGCAAAAAACAAACAGAGCTCCCATCAGCTTCTGGCACCCCACAAAGCAGGCTCCTTGCCCTACCCCACCCGCCCCCCCCCCGCCCCCCCCCCCCCCCCCCCCCCCCCCCCCCCGCCCCAGCCACTCCCACACCCATATCAGCTCCTGAAGTGAAAAAATGGAAATAGACTGGCCCTGGGAATATAGACAGTATCTAAATGTTGAACGTGGCTGCACTAAGTACCTAAAGGAGGCTAATGCCTTGTCGACAAAACAGCCAGTGTCTAATGCATGGCAGCGATCAGCAAACTAGTAAATTGTACAGGCGCGTGTGCTTCTGTTTCCAATTTCCTGATACCATTAAATGGTGCTGGCTGCACACAGCCCGACCTTCCCTTGCATTTCCTTTGGCTTCCAAAGCTAATGGTTTTTCCCATCAGGTTTATAAAAGTAATGCACGCTCATTACTTGAAATCCAGAATGTTCAAAAAAACAGCGAGGTCACCTGGCTGGCTCTCTCTGTGGAGCGTACAACTCTTGATCTCGGGGTTGTGAGTTCGAGCCCCATGTTGGCTGTAGAGATTATTTAAAATAAAATCTTTAAAACAAAACAAAAGACTATCAAAAAAAAAAAACCCTCCACAGAAACTAGCTTGGCAAATAATATCAATAATCCCGTTACTCAACACACGTTTAACCTCAGATGCACTTCTTTCCAGTGTTGTTAAAATGTTACTTTGTACAGTGTGCCTGTTATGGTGGTATTTTCTTTTGCATATTGTTTAGGACTCTCTTTATTTTATTTTAATTTTTTTAATGTTTATTTATTTTTGAGAGATAGACAGAGCACAAGCAGGGGAGGAGCACAGAGAGAGGGAGACACAGAATCCAAAGCAGGGTACAGGCTCCGAGCTGTCAGCACAGAACCCGACATGGGGCTCAAAACCATGAACCGTGAGATCATGACCTTAGCTGAAGACAGACACTTAACCGACTGAGCCACCCAGGCGCCCATATTTTTAGTTTATTTTAGAGAAAGAATACGTACGTGAGCAGGGGAGAGGTTTGGGGAGGGAGAGAGAGAGAGAGAGAGAGAGAGAGAGAGAGAGAGAGAGAGAATCTCAAGCAGGCTCCATGCTCACCACGGACCCTGACACAGGGCTCGATCCCATGACCTGAGCCAAAATCAAGAGTCGGACACTGAATGAGCCGCCCAGGCACATCTAGAACTCTTTTTAAACATCATTTTAAATAGCAACAGCATTCTAGAAATCAAGTTAATTGTGAGAGTAACCAAGAAATGTGTAACAAATTGTTAAAGACAATATATGCCCAACTAAGTAGCTTATGCTAAGCCCCACATCACAAAACTGAAACTGAAGCCTCACATCGGCCACACTGAGACTTAATTAGTTTCGACGCTCCCAGAAATAGAATCTTAAACCAATCCATCAGGAATCGCCTGATCCGCACTAGTCAGATAATCCACCATCCTCTAAATGAAAGTGACCTCGGAATAGTCAACCTGATTTTGTGTCCCACATAATGTCCGTGTCCCCACTCATGAGCCGGCTGACTCATGGATAACTGAATAAAGCCAGTAAGATCTTTAAAATTTCTGAGTTGAATTTTGTTTTTTAACAGTCCTTTTAGGAAGGATCCAATTTTTCCCCAAATAAGCGGGGATACATATGAAAGAGACTTCATCCACATTTTATTCTGATAACATCCTTGCCACAGGCTACAGACACGGTTGTAAGCTCTTGAGGGGTCATCTTTCCTATAGATTCCAAAACATAAAAGAAAATGAGCAATTTTCCTTGGGTTTCTGGAAAGAGGCAGTACCATTTTCTGTGCCTACTCTTGGGATGGGAATCTAGCTTCATTGCCTAAAAAACCGAGAAAGCCCCAAGCTTCTGTTCTCGCACAAATAGAAATGTATAAATATGTTCATAGGGCGCCCGGACGGCTCAGTAGGTAGAAAGTCCGACTCTTGGTTTTAGCTCAGATTATGATCTCATGGTTCGTGGATTTGAGCTGACAGTGAGGGGCCTGTTTGGGATTCTCTCTCTCTCTCCCTCCCTCTCCTTTGGTCCCTCCCGTACCCATGCTTGCTGTCTCTCTTTCAAAAAAAATGTTTTAAATGTTCATAATAGTGTTCTTTATAATTTCAAAAGTGTAAAATAAAAATCACTAAATGTTCAGCATTAAGCGGGTTAGCTAAGTAAATCACAGAACACGTGAACAATCCTTTCAGTAAAGGAAAATTATTCAGCCATTAAAAGCAATGATTATGAAGAACACTTACTGATGTTAACTTTTTTCTTTTTTTCTTTATTTTTCCTTTTTCTTTTTTCTTTTTTTTCCTTTTTTGCTTTTTTAAAAAAGTTTTTAACATATATTTATTATTGAGAAACAGAGAGAGACAAAACATGAGCAGGGGAGGGGCAGAGAGAAGGGGAGACACAGACTCTGAAACAGTCTCCAGGCTCTGAGCTGTCAGCACAGAACCTGATGAGGGGCTCAAACCCACAAACCGCGAGATCATGTCCTGAGCCAAAGTCGTAAGCTTAACGGATTGAGCCACCCAGGTTCCCCCCCCCTTGTTTTTTTAAGATAAGCTCTAAGCCCAACATGAGGCTTGAACTCACAACTCTGAGATCAAACAAACACTGGAAGATTATTCTAGGGAGAGGCGCCAGCCAGGCTCTGCTATTGATGTTAATTTTTTAACTGAATACCCAAGTTTATGTAAACAAGTATTTAGATTTTATATGCATATGAAAAGGGATGGGGGCCAAATTTAAGAATAATAGTAGCCAAATGATGAAATGATCGGTGCTGTTCTCTTCTTTCTGAGATTCTGGGTTGTCTAAATTGCCTTTCTTGTTTGTAGTAATCCTGATTTTGTCGGTCTTCTCTGCTTCCCTTCTGCCTGTGGGTCAGAGGGTTCAGTTGCCAGGCCCCTCGACAGACACTCCAGATTTCTCATTCTCGTCCACACCAAGTACCTGCTGTGAGGGCGGATTTTGCCAATCGCGAAGCACCGTTTGTTCGCCAGCAAGCTCGTTGGGTGCGTTACCGTCAGAAAATTCGTTCGCACAGACCTGGCTGTTGCAGGTCCTAACGCCACCTCTTGCTAACGCGACATGGAAAAGAAGGAAAGAGCACAGACAGTGCAGAATTGGAGATGAGCTCTTGACTCCGCAGGTCCACGAAGATGGGGGAGGGGGGGTTGGACCCTCCAGCAGCACACCCCTTCCTGGGGGGGGGGGACCTGCCCTCTTTTCTTTCCCATACGTGCCACGTGGTTGCAAAGTGCCCTGGGACCTCAGGAGGGGGTGATGGAGAATTGGGAGAAGCTGGGAAGGGTGAGGACCCCCGTGGGAGAGATTAAGTGTGATGGAGGAGAATGCAGAGAGGGTGAGTCAACAGCCCAAATTAACACATCCAGAAAGACAGCGGAGCTTGCACTGGACTTGAGTCCCTGTTTTCACACCAGTGGGGTATTCTGTTCTCGAGGCCCGGTCCGGAGGGAATGTTTTGCGGGTGGACGCCGGGTGCCACTAAGTGGCCCTTGACAATGTGGAACAGAAGCGCAGATAGACTATGGGACGGTTGCCTGGGCGGCGCAGTGGGTTAAACATCCGACTTCAGCTCAAAGCATGATCTCACGGTTCGAGTCCCACATTGGGCCGTCTGCTGTCAGTACAGAGTCCTTTTTGGATCCTCTGCCCACCCCACACCCCCAAGCCTCTCTCTCTCTCTCTCAAAAATAAACATTAAAAAAGAAAAGAAAAGAAAAGAAAAGGCCAGGAGAACAGTTCTGGAATCAGAGCTCCAATCACATGCGCCAAAATCCTGCAGAGGGTATGGAGAGGGAGTGCGTTGTAGCAGAAAGATCCAGAGCTTTGGAGCCCGTGTGTTAGGTGGGCGTTTGAACTTCAGTCCCCCAGCCACCGGCCCCACGACAGCTTGCATGATGGCTCCCCGGACCGGTCCCTTTGCAGGGTCCTCTGCTTCTCAGACCCTGACGGTGGGCTGAGGCCGGGACTTGCTCTGCTCAGTGAAATGCGAGCAAAATCACACAACATGCAACTTCACTCTAAGAGAAAGCTCTCTCGCTCTTTCCTCTTTGCCCCCGGCACACCTCGGCCCCCCAATCAGCTACACCCTAAGAATCTGGTTGTGGAAAACGCAGAGCCTCACCCAGGTCTCTGCCAACACGTAACTTGTGTGAGAAACGGAACTTTGTGGTTACAAGGGGCTGACGTGTGTGTTATTTTGTTGCCAAGACCAGTCTGAAAAATGCTGTCCCCTGAGCTGGCTTCTCAGACTCTGACAAAGCACTTAACAGGCCTATTTCACACGGCTCTTTGGGGACTGGAACAGAGTGATGGACAGAGTGGAGCTAGGCACACATTTGGCTGAGACGCACGGAGAAATAAAGGGTGACCCTGTCCCCTGGTCACCGTGTTCTGGCCACTTGAAAGAGAGGGCCAGTGGCCAGAGTTCAAACTGTTTCCGTTTTGTTTTCCCCTGAACTCTCATTTCTCTCCTTCTCCTTGGAAAATACTGATCCAGAGATGAGACACTTAAAACACAGGCCTTTTTTCTTTTGTGGATGTGTTGGACAAGTGCAATCGTCCCGAGGGAAAAGGCAGTCACGGTGGCTGAAGTGGCCTCCTTGGCTGGCTGGAGCGCGACCTGTCCCGAGTGAGAGACTGCACCCCACTTCCAGGCCTGGCACCCAGCTTGCTTTTGTCACCAGCAGCCAAGCGAGGAAAACCTGCTTCCACCGCGTACAGCTGCTTCTGGAAAAGGACAGCCGGGGTCCCTTGCTCCCTGGGGTCCCTTGGGGTTCAAGGCCTTCCCCCAAAGATGGAGCACTTGGTCTGCACCGTGTGCCCCTGAGGGTGACCCCTGCTGGCCCCTTCCTTGGGTGTAGGGGTGAGTCTTCCTTACCTCGTGCCTGGATTTAGAACCTTGTTTCAGGGCTGGACTCTCCCAGGGGAGACATGGCTGCTAGAATGTTCCTCTTATACCCCCAAATCTTTGCTCACTCCCCACTGTCCATCCACATCTCCATCCCTCCCTGGGTCTTGGGTGTGTGTGTGGCGGGGGGGGGTGGGTTGGGGGGGGATGGTGGGAGGGGGGGTTGTTCTCCTCAGTCTCTTCAATTATAACGTGTTCCTGCCTGTGTAGAAATTCTGCCCATCCCCTAGGAGCCAGCCAGTTTGCCTGTGTTACAATTCTCACTAAACCTTTTCTGATCTCTAATGATATGTAATTTCTCTCTGCCCTGAAAACTGCCCCTTAAACTTCATTTTAATAAATTTCATTTCTTTTTATAAAAAACATTGTTTTAAATTCATTGAGACATTGTGAGCAAGGAAGGGGCAGAGAGAGAGGGAGAGAGAGAATCCGAAGCCAGCTCTGCAGGTCAGCACAGAGCCGGATGCGGGGCTCGAACCCACGAAATCCTGAGATCATGACCTGAGCTGAAACAGAGTCGGATGCTTAACCGACTGAGCCAAGCAGGTGCCCCTCATTTCAATATATTTTATAATTATGGTTGAAAACTTGGAAATTAAAAAAATGACGGAGAGAGCTGTAATATAGAAACATAACAGCACCTTGGGAGGGACTCACTGTTAACGCTGGTGTTTTCTTCCCCTGCAGGTGGGTAAGGGCTGAACAGAATGATAATCCTCGGGGTCAGCAGAGAAGTTGAAGTAAAAACTATCAGGCAGAGTGTTACACTGGAAGACAACAGGGAAATAAGAAATATTAAGCAACTGAAACTGAAAATTGCCCGTAATCCTTGGTGCAACGATTCTATACTTCAGAATTTATCCTACAGAAATAGCAGAAATCTGCAAAAGGAAGGCTTTGAGAGATCTCACTGCACCATTGGTTTTAATTGCATAAAAAAATGGAAACAACGTAATGGCCCATCAGTTGGGAATTCGTGTAATCGATTATGAAAACATCCATTCAACGAAATATTGTGAAGTCATTAACAAGAAGACAAAGTGCAGTTTGGATATAATGTGATGCAGACTGGGGTATTGAAATTTTTTAAAATGTGTCTTATTTTTACTTTCCTCAAACCAATTCTAAAGTCCCTTGCCTTGATAATTGTCACAAACAAAAAAGATTTCATGTGCATAAAAAAAATTTTTGTCAAGGAAACCTGCATGGCGTCGTCGGTTACGTGTCCAGCTTTGGCTCAGGTCATGATCTCATGTTTGATCTCAAGTTTGAGCCTTGCATGGGGCTTGTTTGGGATTCTTCTCTCTCCCTCTCTCTTTCTGCCCCTCCCCCACTTGCCCTTCTCTCTCTCAAAATAAATAAACAAAAATTTTTTGGCATGAGGCAAGTCAGCAATTAATGGTGGTTCTCTCGGAGGGATGAAATTTAGAGACGATCTTTTTCTGATCTGTACATCCCTGTATTTTGTGATAATAAATAAAACACAACAGCCCCATGCTAGAATATCGATAACAAAAATTCATGACTGGAACTGTCGGAGTGTGATAACTTACAGGGATTTCAAAGGCCTTAAATATAAAAGAAAAATCTCTTTGTACACAACACTAGATATTCAAAATTGCACCTAGAAGTAAGGGTTAACTGGATAAGTTAAAAACAATGAAATCCGCAACGATGCTCAGATGAAGAAACAGAATGAATAAAACCAATGAAATCCTAAAAAAAAAAGAAAGAATAAAATTAATACAGTAAGTTAAAAACAATGAAATCCTAAGTGGAAAATTAATAAGTAAAAAAACAATGAAATCTTAAGTGGAAAATTAATAAAATAAGTAGAAAAACAATGAAATCCTAAGTGGACCTCGTAAAGTAGGTATAAATGCTTCAGGGAACTCTGCGAATTGGCATTGTTAGGCATCTGGTGACCTGGAGTGTGAAGGGCTCAATGCCGACCCTCTGTGGTCAGCTGCCCCTTCCTTGTACCCCCACCCCCCACTCCCCGCCATACTTTGGGCACGTTCTTTGATGCACTGGCTCTACTTGGCTAAGGCAGTCACCCCCTTCTGGTCAACTCTCCTCAGTCATCACTGGCTTGACAAGAATTTGCATCAAGATACTGGAAAGGTAAACACCAGTCCTGTGCTTCCCCCACCCTGAGATACAGGAGGGAGTGGTGTGCATTTTCTCAAGAGGCCTTATCACTAATGACAGGGCATTCGCAGGGCAGGCCGTCGTCATCTGCAGTTGCTCAAAAGGTCAGTTTTCCAGCCACAGAGACTTCAAAGGACAGCGTCATCGGCCGAATCAACCTCATGCAGTATACGCACTGCTCTGAGCCTCAGCCTTGGTCCCGGGTCCCAACTGAAACCTCAAATTAGCTGATGCACTTCCTAGTCCGTAGAAGAAATGTAACTTTCACCTCCCTCCTCTGCGAGCGTTCAGACTCGTATTTTCCGTGGTCGATGATCTTTTCTGAGTCACCCCCTCCCCGCACCCCTTGGGCCCTAGTTCCTTCCTTAATAAAGCATTGGCTCAAAGGACAAAACTCAACATTCACTGCAGAGACTTTTCCAGATGCCGTTCATTGGAGGGCTGAGTGGCTCAGTTTCCAACGCTTGCTCAAAATCTAAGAAGCAGCAAAGACGAGAAGCAAACGGGCTTCCAGAGCCTTTTCTGGCAAGACCAGAAGCTGCAAAATTAATTAAGGGCATTTTCTCAAGGGAGCTGCTGAGAATTCCTTGCAAGTTTCTGGGTTGCTGGGTATTTGGAGATGCTAAGTAGGGCTCAGCGCCAGTCCTTTGAGGTGTCCTGGCCGTCCCACTAGCTGGAAGCACAGTGTGATTTCGGATGGTCTGATCTGGGGGAAGGGGAGGGGGGAGAGCCATAAACCAACCTGCCCTTTAAACAAATAAGCAAAACCAGCCTGACGCTTGGGCTGCCGGCCGGGTGCCTTTTGCACCTGGTAGATCTAAGGGGTTGGGGGCTCCCAAGGGGGCAGAAACGGACTCTTCTCAAGAACATACTAGATGACAAGACAATTCGCTTTTTTTTACAGCTGCTCTGAAAGAAAAGAGGGTTTTTGTAGGGCTCTTGGAAGGGGCTGGGGGAGGGACTCTGCCCACGTTGATATCCAGCTATTTCTTTCTGCACTCACTTCCTTCCGTGAGCACAGGCCACAGATCCTTAATCAAAACCTCCTTCTCGTCTGCCAGCTGTGTTCTCCCCGCAGAGCAGGCTCCCCTCATTCAGAGGCGGGGGTGTCTCACCACCCTGCTTGTTTGGGGTCCTGCAAATTCCTCAAAGCATCCGCCTTCACAGAAGGTGTGTGGAGTCCCTGCGGTATTTCTGACACTGGAGTCATTGCCCCGGCGTCAGTGGTGTGAGTTGCAGAAGTGGGTCGTAGCCAGGAGACAGGCTGAAAGTCAGATCCGGAGACGGGAAGTCACCTGTGTCTGCTCTGTGCCTTGGGTACACACCTCTATTGTAGTGTTTCTCAGCGGGCTGACGGGAGATTCCGTACACACACACACACACACACACACACACACACACACACACACACATGCTCTGTACTCCTGTAATACTCATCCCGCACACATAAGGTTTCTGTGCTCAGGTAAGGAGCAGTCTTGTGATTGACAACTCACAGCAAAAGCTCTGAGAAGTCCCGCAGTAAAGGAACCCGAGAAACTCACTTGCTCACCCCCTGTGCCCCACATCCACTGGGCCACACCCCGTTTCTACACAACATCTGCGGTTTCGGCGAAGCACACTGAGCAAAGGCTAGCGGAGTGCAGCTGTCTGCCTTCCTCGAGTTGCACCTGGGGTTCAGACTTGAGCGATTATGTCATTCTTCTGCACCCAAGGGCCTCTGGCACCTCATCTCCCACCGCGCCCCCAGTCCAGCCAGATATGCCTGTATGTGGGGTGGGGACCAGTTCCTCTCTGTGTTTACTTATGGAGGGAGCCCTTATAACTCTGATGGAAAGACCCAACATTCCACAGGCTGGGGGTCACAGACCTGTACCCTGTTTCTCTGGTAAAAGTGCTCCCGAGCTGAGCCTCCATCCAGTGGGGGGAGAATCCTGATTCTGCTAGTGCTTTTCCCTCTGCTTCCTCTCTCTGAAGCCAGGCTCAGCTAGTTCAACTGGATGCGTGACAGAGGCACCCGTGGGGACAGCCTGGGGGCTGATGGCTTTGCAGGCACCAGTCCGAGGTCGCAGTGCTGTCTCCCATGGTGGCGGAAAGAGGTCTCCCCTCCCTTCAGAGGATAACCAGGATCTAGAATCAGGATCAGGAAACAGGAGCTAGAACACCCATTGTTGAGCAGCACCTGGAGGCGCTGAAATTGAAGGCGATTGTCGTGGGTCCTCTCTGAAACAAGAAGAAAAATTAAAAACTAGACTTGGAATTTATAGAAGAGTCGCTCCACCTTCATGTTCAAAGATATGGACAGTGAAAGGCAAACCTGCCCAGGGCACCTGCTCGTACATCTAGAAGTGAATTTCCGGGTCCCTCATCAGAGGCTTTGTCCCTACGTGGGTGCTGCTGTGGACAAAAGTCAAGCCGTGTCTCAGCAGCCTGTGCAGGAGGGAATACAACCCCACTGGGCATGGAGCAGACCCCAAGTCGGGTTACCTTGGCCCTGTCGGAATGTGGTTTAAAAGCACCCATTTCCAGGGACGCCTGGGTGGCTCAGTCTGTTAAGGGTCCGACTTCGGCTCAGGTCATGATCTCACAGTTCATAGGTTCGAGCCCCGCGTCGGGCTCTGTGCTGACAGCTAGCTCAGAGCCTGGAGCCTGTTTCAGATTCTGTATCTCCCTCTCTCTGACCCTCCCCTGCTCACGCTATCTCTCTGTTTCTCTCGCTCTCTCAGAAATGAATAAAACATTTTTAAAAAATGAAAAAAAAAGCACCCTTTTCCCCCTTCCAGGACCACAGAATATCTTGGTTGTGAAAACAGGTACTATCTAGGAAGTTCATAATAAAGTATCATCAATGAGATTAAGAAATGGAGTCAAGATTTATACAGACTTGGCTTTTATTTCCAATTCAGAAGCTTGTAGGAGCGCCTGGGTGGCTCAGTCGGTTGAGCGTCCAGCTTCAGCTAAGGTCATGATCTCATGGTTTGTGAGTTCGAGCCCATGAGTTCAAGCCCCTGAGTTTGAGCCCTGTGTCAGGCTCTGCACTGATACCAGGGAGCCTGCTTCAGCTCCACGTCCTGTCTCTCTCTCTCTCTCTGCCCCTCTTCTGCTCTTGCACTCCCTCTTTTTTTTTTTTAAATTTTTAACGTTTATTTTTTATTTTTTTCTTAGAGAGAAAAAGACAGACAGTGTGAGCAGGGGAGGGTCAGAGAGAGAGGGAGACCCAGAATCTGAAGAAGGTTCCAGGCTCTGAGCTGTCAGCATAGAGCCCAAAGCGGGTCCGAACCCATGAACCGCGAGATCATGACCTGAGCCGAAGTCGGACGCTTAACTGACTGAGCCACCCAGGCGCCCCCCCCCCTTTCAAAAGTAACTAAACATTTTTTTAAAAAAGAGAGAGAAGAAAACATTAAGAAAAAAAAGAACCTTATAAATCTGTGACTTTAAAACTCTGTAAAGCCTCAATTTTCTCATCTGTAAACTGGATATTCTTTTATACTAGTTTCTCCTCTGGTTGTTGTAAGGAGTAAGTGAGATGAAGATGTGAACTTTCAGCCGATGCCCATCACATAGGAAGTGCCTAATACACGTAAATGATTGTACATGCGTCGCTCATACGCAGCACATAGCACATGTCAGCACATGCTTATTCTCACGCGTTCCTCAGTAAGAAAACGCTCACGGAAAGAGCCAAAGTCCTCGCCTCCACTTTCCCTGCCTAATAAGCTTACACATAAAAGCTTGTTTGTGGGGCGCCTGGGTGGCTCAGTTGGTTAAGTGTCCGACTTCGGCTCAGGTCATGATCTCACAGGTCGTGGGTTCGAGCCCCCGCATCAGGCTCTGTGCTGAACGCTTGCTCAGAGCCTGGAGGCTGCTTCTGCTTCTGTATCTCTTTCTCTCTCTGCCCCTCCCCCGCTCACGCTCTGTCTCACTCTGTCTCTCAAAAATAAATTTAAAAAAAAAAAGCTTGTTTGTGTTTCTGGAGCTATTTTTGCATTTATAATTCATGAATGGATGAAATGAACCTGCCTGCATTTTCCTTTAGGAAGCCAGAATTGAACGTGACGCTGTGCCCACTTACTCTGCTGTTTGTGTGATGCCCTGAACACCGCGGGACAGCATCACAATGAGACTAGTCTGGCGTCCACACAGCATGGCACCCGGAATCATCAGCATCCGGAATCCTCCACCCAGGTGAACTCGCCCCAACGGGAGCCAAGACTGTGTCTCTGGGTTAATAGAGGTTTTCAGAGACGGGAGAGGGGAGAGGGGACAGGAACCCCATGGCTTCTCTTTGCTTTGTGCTTGTTGTTTGAGGCCAGAGGACTCAGGGAGAGATAATGGCCCGAGGAAGGCTTAGGTATCCCTTTGTTATGGCTTATTTTAAGCCACTTGAAGAGGCCCTTTAGTGTTCTGTTTGCTCCCAGTACTTCAAAGCTGGAGGGGTTTTCTTAGGGACAGAGGAGGAGGCTACCAGAGCCCTAAGCAGCAGAGGGAGGTGGGAGCTGGTGAGTGAACAGCCCAGGGATTGCTGATG